ATTTTATTTATTTATTTGAGAGAGAGAATGAGATAGACCATGAGAGGAGGGAGGGTCAGAGGGAGAAGCAGACTCTCCGCTGAGCAGGGAGCCCGATGCGGGACTCAATCCCGGGACTTCAGGATCATGACCTGAGCCGAAGGCAGTCGCCTAACCAACTGAGCCACCCAGGCGCCCCTGGAGTCAGGGACTTCTAACAGAGATCCTTAACTCCAGGGTTGTGACCCTTCTTTTAGTTGATATAATTAAACCAATTTTTGATGTCCCAAGGCAACAACTGTACAACAAATGATGCCCCATGGGAAAAAAAGAAGTGCTTCCTGCTGGGGTCTTCTATTTAAACTAATTTTCAAAACTAATGTAGGCATTCTTTTTATATCTTGCAAGAGGTCAGTCTTTCTCCTTTCTCTCTACCCTTTGCTAACCGTACAAGGCCATTCACTCCTTGCAGGTATTATGGTCACATGGTCTAGATCAGAAGTCAGATTCAAGGTTCTAATCTCATCTTGGCACCAATGTGCCGCTCTGGTCACATCTCTGAATGATCCTTAATCTAAAAAAGAGCAGATAATTACTCAAGGGCTTGAACCAAACTGTGAAATAAAAATTAAAAAACAAGTCACACCAGATATTGAAGCTTGAGGAAGCAAAGTAGTTGTAATTGCTGAACTCCTAGGGAGTCACTTCAAGCCCCCTTTCTTATTCATGCTATGCTCTCTGGTGTCTAACCACTTCTCAGTACTGTCCTTTATTAAAAAAACAAAACTCACATGAATATGAATTGACTTTAAAGATACCTTTTCTTTACATAATTAAAACGTTCTTCAGAGAAAATACAAGTTTTAGTACATAGCAATTAAATCAAGCAGAACACTATTGTCTTGCTTTTTTTGCTATTGACTTTTAGGAATACAAATACTTGGCTTTTTTAAATGGTTGCTGACAGTCCGTGGTGGGCAGTTTGAGTGAAATAGAAAATTTGGGATGACTAAAATTTTTGGAGTTGGAGAAATTTTGTTTTTCTTGAAACAAACCTTGAAAACAGAGGGATTTCCCAAGATTAACGTCAGATCAGAAATAAAAATTGTTTTGCTTGAATAAAATCAAAACACTGACCACAAAAATGCAACAAGTTCTGCAGAGTGGAGATTTCACAATCAGAAATTTTGAACTAATCTCTCCCATTGGTTGCAAAAGACTGGAGCAAGACTGGTATGATGGGCAAGCTCACCAAAGAGGAAACACATCTATGATAGAATAATAAGCAATGTCACACCCTGTCTCTACTTTACAGGGTAGGACACACCAGTCATGAGTATACCTCACTGTCGATGAAGTTACTGATCCCTGGACTTTCGCGTAGGACCTAAAAGTGTGCACAGTTTTTGTTAAAGCATCTGTTTGTCCTTTCTTATACCACTTTGTGGGGTACGGGGGAATGAGAGTGAGTGGAGAGGTCTCCAGAAGGGAAACAATATGTGGCCCTGGAAGGAACAGGGGGCTTGACTCACCTGGGAACTCAGCATGTCTTATCCCTACTGGCTTCATTCCCCAACCAGGAGAGTGAAGCTGATGTCAATCAACTAATATTTGTTTATTCAAGACCTCGAAATGGCAGGGCTTTCTGACAGTGTTTTAAAGGGTAGTCTAAACAGAATGTAAATTCTCCATACTAGGACACAACCATTTAGAGTGGTAGTTTTTTTTTATTTTTGAGACTGGCTATTTATCATTTTACACTCACCTAGAAAGTGCTGACCGAAAGGGCTGCAACAAGAGTATAAGGTGGCAGTGAGTGACAGCTGCTTGGTGTTCTCATTGGCTTTTCTCTAGACAACTGAAGAACCACTCTCTGAAGAAGACAGACTAGCACCATTTCCAGATACTAAATGTAGACATGTATGCACTCATACAGTCATTTTTCACCTATGAATGACAGCTCTAATTCTACATGGGTTAAGCCAGTGAAATGCCGCCTCCATCTTCCTTGATTTCAGGATGGATATTCTGTAAATGCAGGCTTTAAATTTAAGTTCCCACCTCTTGGTTCAGAGCTATCACCTTCAGAAGTTGTGGGAAAGGAGGACAGGACTAGATTGGCATTCTTGAAAAGCCTTAGGAGCATTAGTAGACACCTGTCCAGAACCAACTTAAGGCTTGGTATTCCGGAGATGGTGTTCAAAGTGAATCCATTCAGAGTGAATCCATTAAAAGTGAATTACTTCCTCCCAGGAAGTGAGATATGGTAGGACCATCCAAACAACTGAGAAAAAATCTGGGTTGAATCCAAGCTCCCCTACTTATCAGCAGTGAAACCCTCTACAAGTCTTTTTATATTTTGGCCTCTGTTCTTGAATTTGCAAAACATGAACTCTATCTACATAAATGTACCAACCTTGAGTTGGTTATGGGGCTCAAAGGAGTGACTGTATTAACCAGTCTAGTAAACTAGTGAGCACTTCATGAATATGTAAAACACAGACAATTAGACTAAGTCCAGTGTTTTGTCGGCATCCTAACCGAGTGCCTTACACATTGAAGGGGATCGGTTTTCTGATCATTAGGGTCACCTCTTTCTCTCCATTTGGGCAAATGTTGAGTTTCTCAGGTTGACCTCTGCTCTGGTTCACCTTCCTCTTAATTTCAAAAGCCCAGCACATTCATTGTACTTTCAACACAGAATGATGCTTTCATGGCGGAGGCAACATGTGATGAGGTGCAAAAGTTTAAAAAACCAAAACAAACAAGCCAATAAAAAAAGTGGGGCAATGCTTAGTTGGCCACACCCACACCTCCATACAGAACTGTAGTCTGAGCTGCCTCAACAAGGGGTGAGCCTCCTCTTCCAAACGCCGCACCTGCTAGTGACTAGCTGGTGTGGCCTGGGGACAAACGGCTCCACCTGGCAAAGCCCTGCTTCTCCACCCCATAGGGGATGGCCGTGCCTACTTCACAGGGGTGAGGCCAGGCCCTGCTGACATCACCTGGCCAGAACCCTGGCTCATATGAGAGGCTCCAGAGATGTCAAAGTCCCTTCTTGTCATGACCTTAGTATAAAGAGGGCACGTTCTGCATGACCTTAGATTTTAAATTAAAAGCCACATCCTTCCAGAGCAGCAAAGTGTATGTTTGTTTTTGGAGAAAATGAGCCCTTTGGGCTCTTCAAAGAAGCTGGCAGAAGAGCCTCCCAGGGAACAGCACTCTGGTTGGTGCTTACAGTCTCAGCAGGGAAGGAAGGGAAGGCCCTTGTTCCCTCGGGAGCCTTGTCTCTGTGGGATGGTTGGCGCTGTGGCCACATAGCTTGGTGCTGACATCAGCTCCCGTCTGGCTCCCCGCACTGGGCTCCCCCAGAGGAAGCTTCTTCCACCGGTTCAGCGTCCCTGTGAATATGGCATGTGAGCTGGTCTACCCTGAGAGGCGGGCTCTGGTGGGACGGGGCACAGGATGGCCTGGATGGCTGTTCCGCCTGCCCCTAGAAACCTTTCTCAGTTCCAAACACACCACAAGGGCGCATTCCTTCCAGCGTCTCTCCTCAGCAACACCCAGCTCTAACCCCGCCCCGTCAAACCTCGAGAAAACAAACAAGGCTTTGATTCCTTTGTGAGAAAATCAAAGAGCTGCTGAAACTTACTTAAAGGAGAAAGAGACAGAGACAGAGAGGGAGAGAGAGAAAGAGAGGAAGGGAGGGAGAGAGAGAGATAGAGAGAGAGACCGCTCTACCACATACTGTTTACTACTTTCAACAGACCCAATCAGAAAGAAGAAATCTGGGTTTAGCTTTAGGAACTGCCTGGAAATATTTGCTAGCTCTTTCAGCTGTGGCTGCCCAGTGAATGAGGTCTCTGAAATTAGCCTTTTAGAGTCAACCTTCTGAAATTAAAAAAAAAATCCTTGCAACACTCTTTGCCCTGGAAAAAAGGATGCCTTGCCAAATTCAAATTTTCCTTGGCCAAAGTAACTATTAACAATTCAGCCCTTCGATGAGGTTATAAAGAAAATATTTCCTCTTGACTTTGGAGAAAATACCTTTCACGTGACCTCCAAATATGTTACTTATTTGAAAGATACACAAAATAAACTTGTCTTTTTTTTCCTTTTTTTTTTTTCCTTACTCCAAAACCCTGTTGTTTAAGGAATTCTGTGGCTTCAGAAGCCAGCAGGGCGTTTACCCTTTTGGTAGAAGGGTGACAGGATGGTGGTCCCAGGGGGCTTCCAGATGTGGGTCTGTTGTGGTTACTGAGCTGTCACTTGTCACACAGTCATGGTCACTATGGAAACTCATCCAGCGGCAAACCCGTGATGGCCGCACTCTTACAAACGTACACGATCCCTCAGTGGAAAGTATCCTTCCCAAACAAAGCAGAGGAAAACACCCTCTCAGAAGACAGCACAAATACTTTTCTACTCAGGCACTGCCCGCAGACCCACTTTCAGGAATCACGACACAGCCGTGTCACACACACAGCCCCAAATCAGGGGGGGCACCCGACCCTCAGAAGGCAAACTCTACCCCTGAACAGAACCATTCTGGGGTTTCCATCTGTAGCGCCCCGAAACACTTGCAGCAAGCCTGGCTTGCAGCCGGCGAGTCACATCTAAGGTCAGCGCTGCTTTAAGAAGCTACCGTGCCCTGCTGATGGGTGGAGGGCATGGAGCGTGTTGTTGTTTTGAACTCCAGAGAAAACTTCAACCAAGAGAACTGCCACGGGATGCACCGGGCTATGAGGTAATGGGACTCTCTGTGTTTAAACAACAACAACAACAACAACAACCACGTGGGTACTTACCGATTTGGTCTTCGGGGATCAGCGACTCGATGGGGGGGTCCAGCTCTGAGCTCTGAGCCAAATAGTTTTTCACCTGGGTCATGAACTGCCGGATGGTCTGCAGCATGTCGGTGCTGGACACGTGGCACTCCTTGTTCTCCTGCAGAAAGCTCACGTAGTCCTGCACCAGGCAGCCGAAATAGGTGCACTTGTCCCGGGACAGCTCCGCGATCCGCCTGACCATGCGCTTCTCGGGGGTCAGGAAGGAGCTGAACACCCCGCTCATCTTGCGCAGCTGGGACTTGACCAGCTTGGGCAGCACGAAGGAGCTGTTCCTCTTCTTTTTGGACTTGATGGGGGGGGCCATGGTCTCCTGGTCGCTCTCTTCCTCGCAGTCCTCCAGGCTGCTGTTGGTGTCTGCCTCGTAGCCAAACAGGGGCATGCTGCGGTCGAACTCCAGCGAGTCGGAGGAGGAAGTGGAAATGCTCATGTCGCTCAGCCTCTGCCTGCCTCCACGCCACGGGGGCCGGGGTTCGGGACCGGCGGCCCTTGTGCAATCCCCCGGGGCCTCGGCAGGCGGGGCCCCACCTGGCCTGCCAGCTGTGCCCGGCCCCGGCTCCTCCGGCTGCGGCTCCCGGCCGGGATACGGCCGGCCGCCGGGCAACGTCTTTGCGCTGCCTTCCGCCTCGAGAAAAGAAGCCTGCTTCTTCAGCCGGGGTGGAGGGATGGGGGTTGGTTTTGTTCCAAGCTGAGCTACGTTCCCATGTTTGTTATGGTTGACTGTTTCTGGCATGCTCGCCTGGGTTTCAGTCCTGGACAGCTGCGGGCTTGTGTGGACACTATTAATAGCGGGTGGCGGGGGCCTGGGTGGGGGGGACCGAGGCCTCTCGGTGCCATTCGCGTTGGGAGTCCTTGTGCAGGGCCGTTTCAGGCCTCCACCGAGGTCCTGGCTGTGCACTTTCAAGAAAAGAGGATTAATAAAACACAGGGCTCCATTGGTCTGGCTGCACTCCAGCTCCGAAGGCGTCCTGGTTTTTATAGAATGCACTCCATTTATAAGGCAGAGCTGACGAGAGGCAGGACAAACACCGTCTGAGGAGAGAGGCCTATGGGGAGGTGGAGGGTTTGGGGGTTTGTTGTCAGCTGGAGAGCTCCAAAAATCTGAAAGTCATTATCAGTGAACACAAGAATGTAAATACAGTACTCTCGGGCCATTCCTTCACAAATTAAAAAAAAGCACACTTGCATGACAACACACGTCTTTGAAGGGGGAGGCGCCACACTTGGGTGTGTGTGTGTGTTTTTGTTTTTTTTTTTCCTTTTCTTTTTTGCTTTAACTGCATTCCCTTACTGGAAAGGGTAGAAGTGCTGCCAGGCCCAAGCTGTGGCTCACAGAAAGGCTCCAGGGTCTTTTCACCTTCAAAGCCCTTGAGAAACGTCTTGGCCAACATACAAAGCCAGCCCAGGCTTTGCACAGGTGAGGAAAGGACTGGAACTGTTACAGAATAAGCCTGGAAAAGGCCATGGGCTCCCCGACTTGCTTTACAAAAACTGAACTTACTTGAAAAGCAAGCCACCCTTTCCAAGCCACTTCTCCTGGAGGTCCCTTCCAGAGGACCTGGCAGTTCCCCTTTAATGGGCCGGATCAGCAGCTGGGCCTGGGGGATGTTACACAATCCGCTTGGGGTTTTACGCATTCAGCATTAAAATCCCAAAAGGAGGAAAAATACACTCATGGAACCCATCAGCAGAAAAAAAGGACAGCAGACCTATGCAAACGCTAAGTGCAAGTTCAACCATTTATCGTAGTGGTTAGCTGCCCATACTCCCTAAATCTGAGACCTCCTTACTATGAAAACACCCACTCAACAGTCTTCGGAGTAGTACACATTGCTTACGCAGCTACGGCCCTATGTCACCTACATACGGGGCTCACGTTTCCACACAAGTCGTGGGAGACAGTGATGGTGATAAACGTCATCTGTTGTGATTTCCAGTTGGATTAGGTTTATTCTCTTGCTACAGCTTTGCCTTGCTGTGTTTGCCTAAAATGTGTTTCTTTCCTATGGACCCAGAATGGCTGATCATGGGGGACAGCAGGGAGGTTGGCACTGGGAGAAGCCCTTGTCCTGTCCTCGCTGTGTCGTAAACATGCCTGATAGTGTCACCTGCTTCCTCTCACCCTTCCTTTCCTTCCCTCTGGCTCTGTGCTGTCCAACGCGAGAGCTATTGAGCACTTGAAATCCAGCCATTGTGACAGAGGCATTCAATTTTAAATTTCACTTCATGTCGATCAATTAAATTTAAGAACACATGTGCAATTTGATTACTGGCAAACTTTTAAGTAGTTTTGGAACTAGGGTATGTTATGTGAATGCAGTTTTTCAACTGTAAATTTAATGAAATCTAAATGCAGGTCATGTGTTTCTGATGAAAATTTACGAGATGTGCTGTAAGGATAAAATAGATACTGGATTCCAACACTTAGGATGAAAAAAAAAGAATGTAAAATATCCCGTTAATGGCTTTAAAATACTGCTTTTATTGTATTTGTACTTTTAAAAATACTCCTATGTTGAAATATTTCAGATCTATTACATTAAATAAAATAAATTATAAAAATTAATTTCACCTGTGTCTCTTTAATTTTCTTTAATGGGGCTACTAGAAAATTTAAAATTACACACTGGCTTGCCACATATGCATTTCCCTTGCCCAAGTGTAAGGTCTGGGTGGAATGGCTCCTACCACCTTTGGGTCCGTCTTAGGCTTTTACTGCCACTACTCCCAGACTTTATAAGGTTTAGTACATTTATCGCCCATATGCCTGTTTCTCCCATATGGACTATAGACCTGGGTGGGGGGGAGGAGAGGGATGGACACTATTAACTTTTGACTTCTTGGTGTGGAGCCTGTCACAGAGCAGATCCTCCAGAAACATTTATTGGAAGGACAAATAAATGAAGAACAGAGTTGTAGAAAGTGCTGTCTCTTCACAAAATGAATAATGTGTACACTGACAATTACAAATTGAGTATATATTAATTAGACCTCATTTGCTTCTGGTCCGTGGCCACGAGAACAAGGTATTTTGCATTTATCTTTGCAGGACACAAGCGCTGACGATGACACTTCAGTCCTTCAGCCCTGGCATGAAGCAGGCACTGCCCACTGACCACAGAACCAGGAGTTTCTGTGGGTGGAGATCAGCATCGAAAACAGACCTGCAGCAGGTCTTCAAGAGGCCTGCGATCTAGTTGGTTATATTCACTTAAATTCAAGAAATGTCTTAAACTCTCTCCAAAGGTGTCTGAAACTCCACTGCAAGAGATGGTGTAACTTTTCAGCAGGGACATTATCCTACCCTGGTATTTTTACCAGGAATCGGTTTCCCAATCCCGCTACCTAACTGCCCATCAGACAGGCCTCAGACACATGTAGCAATTCTTTTGAAGCAATCTAAGTTTGAGAAGGGAGTCTGAATCTATCTCCAGGCGTCTCATGGGTCCTAGGAGCCCTGGTATTTGCATTTCAGCATCTCAAATTTCCATTCCAGTACTATGGCCTGGTTGTTATTCTTTTGGAAGACTGAAGTCCTAAAAATCTTAAGAGAATCTCCCCTTTCAATCTAGGGGGAAAGCTCCCCTCCCAAAGTTAAACCCACAAAGATTCTTCATGGCAATGGCACAAGGAAGAGAAATTGGGTGAAATGTATGTCCCGATCCATTGTCAACCACTGTCCAGAAGCATGATGTTGCGTTTAGGGGCGTTGGCAAAGGGGCAGGAGGGGGAAGCCAGTGCCCAGCTGGCCAGAGCGAGGATGCGTGGCAGCATAGGGGACATGACTCAGGACACCAGGACTGAAATTGAACAACAAGAGAGGAAGCGAGACAGATGTTACTCGAGATGCCTGCACGGTCAAATTCCCCAAAGCACAGAAGTGCTGTCAATTCCCGTGTGTTCTTCCAGAACAAAACTCGTGCACATGAGATGTGCTGCGCTATTTCCCTTTCTGCCAAGCACCCCCTTTCCCAGTAGGATGCCGCAGAAAGGAAAGAAAGACCCAACCCATTACAGAATTTTGTGTTCCATTAGGACTTGGACGTTTAGGGTAGCTTAAACCTGATGGGAGTCACTGGGGAGATGTGGGGGTGACCCAGGCGACCCAGGCAAACGGAGGGCTTGCCTCTGAGAGACAGTTCAGTATTTGACTTAGAAAAAGACTCTCAGCAGGTGTGATTCAGGGACCTCATGGACCTGCAGGCCACGTTTTGCCATGGAGTTGGGGATTATTTTTCGATGGAACAGTGTATCACCAGCCAGCCTAACACTGACTCTGCTCCATAGATTCATTTCAGGAGAGACCTGGGCAGGGGCACCCACTTACTTAGTCCCAGCTGGGCTAGTTCTTCAAGCCGAGCCTCAGTCTTGGCTGTTGAAATGGCATAAGGCAACTTCAAGGTAAACGGCAGAACATCCCTGATTTTTCAAAAGAGAGAATATTTGTAATTATATGTCTTGTTTCTATCTCTTGTTTGCATATCCATCCTAGGGATGTTTTAGCTTCAACTGAAATGTCCTAAGGAGATGTTTTAGCTTCAGCTGAAATGTCCTAAGGAGACACTACATCCTACCTAACCAGGCCTTGTCTTTACTGGGGACGGGACCGCAGGATTACTATTCTTGACTCTAGGAACACACTCGGGACAACCTGAGAGATGACAGGCTGACTGGTTTTGGTATCTGTAGCGAGGACCAAATTTCCTTCCCGGGGTAGTTGAAATGTATCTAGCGTTAATATCAGAATCCTTATGTTGGTGGATCTTACATATATACACATAAAACATTATGTACTCATTTGCTGCATGTTCTGAACATTGGGCCCCAACTCATTGAACAGGACTGTGTAATCCTAAACCAAGATTTATGATCTCACTTCCTTACACATGGCAGTTTCTCCACCACTATCTGTTGGTTTTACTTTGACATCTTCCAGCTAGAGCCCATGCGTTGTGCTTTGTGTGCTGGAGACAAAACTTCCTCTTGTTTTAAGGTAGTGCTTCTCTATCTGTAACGTGCACATGAATCCCTGGGAGTCTTGTTTTACTGCGCGCTCTGATTCAGGAGGTCTGGTGAGGCTGGACATTTCTGCCACGCTCCCAGGTGATGTTGCTGCTGCTGCCCCAGCACTGTGCTGAGTAGGGAGGCAAATGGAAATGACTTCATGCAACAACGCTGCCCCCAAGCAGCATGGGATCATGTGTGCACCAGCAAACACACGCACCCACCATCACAGACCAAAAGGCCCAACAGGAAGGAGCTGAGCGGAGCTGCCACCAGGGTCCTTCCACGGCCAGTGAATAGTGTCACCACCAGTAAGTACATAGACCATGACCTCCTGCTTTCTCCAAAAGGGCAAAAGCAGACCTAACAAACATCTGCTCATTTTCATATACAAGGGATAAACATTGGTGATTCCCCGCTCCCCAGGGCTCACACAAGGCCTTGCCTGATACCGACAGGGAGAAAGCATGTTTCGAATAAATGAATGAATGAATATGCAATAACAATGGTGACTTATCCAAAAATAAATTTTTTTCAGTGGTGGTATTGGTCTTACAAAAAAAGAACTCAGGGGCGCCTGGGTGGTGCAGTCAGTTAAGCAGCCAACTCTCGGTTTTGGCTCAGGTCACAATCTCAGGGTCCTGGGATCGAGCCCTGCGTCAGACTCTGCGCTCAGCGGGGAGTCTGCTTGAGGTCCCTCTCTCCCTCTCCTTCTGCCCCTCCCCCTGCTTATGCTCTCTCTTTTTTTCTCTCTCTCTCTCAAATAAATAAATAAATCTTAAAAAAAAAAGGAATTCATTCCTTCATTCAACATCATCTAGGTGCTGAGAACGAACAGACAAAATACCCTGCCTGCCTGCATGGAGTTTCACTCCAGTGGACACCAAAAGACAATGAACGAATATGCATTTCATAGAATACATAAGAAGGGGATGTTTGCCACAGATTTTTAAAAAACGTGCAAAAGATGGGGCGCCTGGGTGGCTCAGTCGGTTAAGCGTCTGCCTTCGGCTCAGGTCATGATCCCAGGGTCCTGGGATCGAGCCCCGCATCGGGCTCCCTG